GTCACATATTATTAAAGTAATTAGTCACAATTTATTTGTCGGTCACAGATTTTTAAATTAGTTGGTCACATATTATTAAATTTTTAGATCACAGTTGAATAAATGGTCACAGATTACCAAATATTTGGTTACATACCATCAAATAGTAGGTCACATATAATCAAGTAATTGGTCACATATACCAAATAGTGGTCACACACCATCATCACCAACACTACCACCATCGCATCCACCCGTCTTCGTCTCAGCTAGATCCACCACTATCCCCGTCACTGTTGCCACCACCAAACACCCAAACCTCGACCCTGATCCACCAACAGCACCATCACAACACCACAACTGTACACAAAAACACTGTCAAACCCACCCACCGCCAGAGCCACCACCACCGTACCCACAACACAAAAACACTGCACACCGGCAAAGCCAAAAACACTGTACCCACAACACACACACCTACCACCACCGCACACTGCACTCCTAAACCGTACACAAAAACACTGCACATCGGCAGAGCCACCACCACTACCGCACCGATAACACACACACACCTACCACCACTGCATCCAGCCACCCCCACCCTCTTACATCATCGATCCTAGTCCCAGCACCACCAACTCGTTGCACAACCATCGATTGCAAAATTAACTCCAGTCGTCGTGCATCTTGTTGACGGCGTCGTCTTCTTACAGCGACGCCTGTATCACATCGGAACCGGTTCCATATTTTAAAGCGTCGCGATATCGTGAACGCTGCTGGCGAGGTGAGCGGCATCCAGCATCGTGCAAGACTCTCTTCCTGTGGGTAGTGCCGACGATGGCATTCTTCCTATGGGCGGCGATTTTGGACAGAGAGATGGGAAGGAGAGAAAGAGGGGGGTAGTGAGAGAAAACAAATAATGAAAATGAATTAGGGTTTGTGTAAATTATTAGTAAGATATTATTATTTAAATATTCAATTGATACCTGATTTTTTAATATACAAACTATGGATCTAATTTTTATAAAGCTATCTTTAAACACCTGATATTTTGTAATTTACCTTTTTTTTTTTTGATTTTTAAAAAGTTATATTTAAATCCCTGATTTTTTGTAATTTCCCTTGGAAAATATTTCCTCCAAGTTGAAAATTTGAAATTTTCATTACACATATTAAAATTTCTTTGGGGGTCAAAATGGTAAAATCATTTGACGAAACCTTGGCGATTAGGATTCAATTTTCAGTTTCACTTCGTAACTCTGCGATTTCGGATGAATTATGTTAAATCTTTGTTTTTTTTTCTTTTGGCCCTAATATAATCAAATATATGGTGAAAGGAGGTGAATCTATTGTCCAAGATTCAAAATCAAACAAGGGAAAACATGATGCCTTCGAATATTATTAAAAAATTGTTAACGTTAAGCCTTATAAACCGCAGGTAAATTTTGAATCTGCATATGTTTGGCCTCAATTTTTCCAAAAATTCATTTTTTTTAAAAACCCATTTTTTATCACATATCCGTTCATAAAATAATTTTACAAGAAAAATCCAAATTTTTTTTCTTATTTTTTAATTACACATTTTTTAACAAAATAATATTCCAAAATATATTTTAACAGAATAACTAATAGAATAACTATTTAAGTGTTTTTTGTTGAATAGTTAAAATATGAGTTCGGTTTTTAGTGAAGTCAAATGTGGTAATATGACCATTGAAGAAAGTAATACTTAAGTTAGTAAGAATAATTAGTGGAGCAAAACAATCATTAGTGTCGTACTTAATTATAGGATCTCGAACGAAGATAAAATACATATACAAAATGTAAGAGGAAAATACTATATATATTTTAACTTATGTGATTTTATATCTTTCAAAAGTACAGTCATTTGTCTTTAGTGAAAAAACAAAGAATAATAATAAAATTGGGAAATCTAAAGTCAACTAAACATGATTTAATTATTGAAAATATATTTTTTCATGATTCAAGACAAAGCCGGTCCTAAGCCAAAGCCACTAGACAAGGGAAAAATTCATAAATAAGGTGTATACTTTACACCAATTAAAAATCAGGTTTATAATTTGAAAATTCAAAAATCAGGTTTTTTTTTATAAAATAATAAATTATTAAATCAATTTATTATTAAATATTTAATTATAATATAATATAATTAACTCATCTCACATGCACCACTCATACCACTCTGAGGACTATTCCGGCGACCATTCCGACCACCACTCTTCTCCTGCGACTGCTCCGATTCCGGCAATTATTTCGGCGACTATTCCGGTGACCATTCTGGTCACATATTTACAATTTACGATTACAGTTCAAGAATTTTATAGAACACAATTAATTCGTTGGTCACAAATCAAAATTTATAGGTCACACAGTCCTAAATTTCCAAACTAATTGGTCAAGAATTTTTTTACGGTCACGGATTATATAATTTTATAGGTCATAATTAATTCGNCCCAACATCACAACCACTACCACGCAAAGACCACAAACAAAACAGGTCCAAGATTATCACGACCCCTACCAACACAACCACCACCTCACAAGCGCCATCAACACAACCACCATCACAGCCGCCGTCAAGATTGCAAATACAACCAACAAAAATCTCCCCCAAAAACTTCGGTGCCACCAGATCGAAAATTACAGCGCACCAGATCTCGCAACGCCTCTCATCGAACAGCGGAGTGAAGGAGAAATGGTGGGACGCAAGGCTTCATCGACTGCGCTCCCAGTCCGGCTACAGCTTCTAGATCGCCGCAAAGCGCACCACCTCCACAGCATCAGCACCGGCTGGAGCAAGTGACGCAGAGGAGGGGTGCTGTAGCAGGCGACGCAGAAGAGGATGAGGGAGAAGAGAGGAGCGTCGATCACCGGAGCAGCCTTCCACTTGTTGTCGACGGATCCGCCGGAGGGAGAGGAGTGAGAGAAGGAAGAGAGAGAGATGAGGAAAGAAGAGAAAGACGAGAGGGAGAGAAATGAATTGATAAAAATGATTTAGGGTTTGGGATTGGGTAGGGTGGGAATAATATTTAATTTTTAAACCCAATACCTGAATTTTGATTAAAAAATATTCTTACTTGATTTTTGCACTCTAATCTTTAAATACCTGATTTTTTATAATTTCCCACTAGACAATGGCCGCAAAACATAAATGGCCGCATTTCCTGAAAAAATTAAATAGTAAGCCAGCCCAATTGAATTACTAAAAAGTGGATTAATTTAAAAATTTATTTAATTGTAGTTTCTTTAATTGATTCTAACTAAGTTCGAATTTATTTAAAATAAGATTAAAACATATGATTAATTAGCTACCAAACGAGTTGAATACTGTTAAGTAATATGATCTAATTTAGAGAGTAATATTATTCATCAAGTAGTTTTCTTTAGTAAGGATGGACATTTTTTCTCGGAACCGGTGAAATCATTGTAACCAAATAGAACCGATCGATTTGGCTTCGGTTTCTCTTCCCTCGGTTTTGGGATTTTTTCAGCATTTCATGATTTTCTTATGCATTTTTCACTTAATAAATTTTATGGACCTTTGGTCCTATTTATAGAGAAAATTTGTAACCAATTTGGTAACCACTCAATAATTTTTAATTAAAAGGAATAATTGAGTAATTTTGAATTTTGAAAAGTGGGATGGACCTTTGTATTTTTTGGGCCATAGTAGACTTTAATTTTCCCAACTTTGGGCAACTTACAAAAGTACCCCTAAAAGTAGTAGTCTTTTGAAAAATCATATATAAAGCATTTTGGAAGTAAAAAATACCATGTAAAATAAGTGTCACATTTTTATAAAAAAATGACACTGTCACTTTTTTAAGTTAAGCGTCACTTTTTTATTAAAGTGCAATGTTTGTCAATAAAAAAAGAAGTGACAAAAAAAAAAAAGAAATAAAAATATGTCGTCTGTTACTAAAAATAAGTTTGCCTATTTGAAAGTTAGGTGATCACCAACAGAGTTTAGTGCATGTAACGTTTGTGTGGAGGGGTGGTGGCAACAGGCTAACCCTTAAGCCAATAACTAATTTTGTTCTTTTGTTTTTTTTGCAACTTACAAAAATACCTCTAAATTTAGCAGTCTTTCGAAAAATTATATGTAAAGCATTTTAGAAGTGAAAAATACTATGTAAATTAAGTGTCACTCTTTAATAAAATGTGTCACGACTTCACTTTTTTAAGTTAAGTCACTTTGTGTGTCAAATTTTTATTAAAAAAGGTGTCGCAACATCACTTTTTCATTAAAGAGTAATGTTTGTCACTAAAAAAAAGTGACATAAATTTTAAGAAAGTGACAGAAAATAATAAAAAAAAGAAATAAAAAATGTTACGTAAAATTAAGTGACGCAATGTCACATTTTTCAAGTTTAGTGTCGTTTTTTATTTAAAAAAATATAAATATGTTGTTATGTTATTCCTTATTCAAAAAAGTGATATAAATTTTAAGAAAGTGACAGAAATTCAAAAAAAGTGATAGAAATTAAAAAAAGTGACACAATCTACCCACTCGAGAAAATTATCAAATATTAACCAGACCACAATGGCTGTAATTGAACATAATATACCCACTAAATACTAAACATTAATTTTTAAAGTTCAGCTTCATTTTGTTATTAAAAAGTGACAAACAATGTTACTTTTATTAAAAATTAATGTTTGTCACTAAAAAAAAGTAACAGAATTTTTTTTAAAAAAGTAACATCAAATAAAAAGAAAAAATGACAAACACTCAAAAATGACAGAAATTTAAAAAAAGTTGCACTAAAAAAAAGTAAAAAAAAATTCAAAATTGACAAACACTCAAAAATTAACGCTAAAAAATGCGTCACTTTTTTATGGTCAAGTTAAGCATTACTTAACTTGACCAACATAGCTTCAAAATCTCTTGATTGCCAAAGCCCGTCTACAAACATTAATATACTAGAAATCACAATTGATATATGCTCATATTCTGAAATAAATAATGCATCAAGTCCATTCAATTTTTTTAGTTAGTCTATAATAGCTTTACAACTAATTAACTATTCCGATACTACAAACTTATTTCTCTTCATCTGCTTCCTCTAGCCATTTTACAAAGGACTCCAATGCCTTCCCCAAGCTCAGCTTGTGTAGCAATGCAAAATAAAAATATGAATCATCTCTACACAATTGCACCACAATATAATAATATAGAATTACGCTTTTGGAACTCATGTTTACTACCCAAAAAAGTGAAAAAAGTCATCACAAATTATCACAAAAGAGACCACTACACTCTTTCACTTAACATTAATTAAAAACTTCAGTGTAATTTAACTCACCAATTACTATTCTTTAAACTGTCACATGTAGAGGTCCTGATATTGTTATCAAGATTTTCCTTTTGCCTCTTCATCTCATAGCTCTCTCTATGACGTTTGTTTTTCTGTTCTTTCATCTCAACCCAGTGTTGTTCATTGTCGATTATTTCGCAAATCCTTTTTCAAAGAATGAGAAGTCTGAACTTCCATCAACAATACCATGTAAAACAACTAACATGATCCATGTCCCTCACCAAATTCATCAACAATAGACAACACCTATCACCATAAGAAACAAAAAAACAAAAATTTCTCTATTTATTATTGATCTAGTGAGTAAAACAGAAGGCGCACCACAAATACACTCAAGATGAATATAAAGAAACTAAAATCACTAAGTACCTAACCACTTGAAAACAGCTCACCAGAACATGACAAAGGCAAACAACAAAAACCCAAATGATAATAAACAAACAACTCATATATCTA